AACAATTTCCAAAGCTATGACCTTAGGGGATGCCGTTTAAGGGATGATAACAATCTGTACCATCCGGAATAATTGAAATTACGAAGGTGAACGTGAAGTGGAAGTAAGACATATTTCGAAGTAATTACACAAGCTTGTTGTATTTGGAACTATATAAGCAATTTCGTGTTCAAATCATTATATTTAATTACCCTTTGTGCTGCAATTGTGTGTCCCACATTTTCGAGGATCATTAAATAGTAAGTCCTGTATTCATTATATTATCTTATCTTACTTTATTATTCTATAACAGATTGAACAATGTTAATTACAATATCATACATTATTTTTTAACAAAATAGTTTCCGTGATTTTTAACAATTCAGAAATTTATGGTCACAATCGTACCTTTCCCTATTTCCACTTTACGATACATGTGCATAAACTAGGTTTAGTTAAAATATTTATGTAAACGTAAGAATGTTCGTGAGTGTATGTAAATAAGTAACATGGTTATTCAGTTGACTCAAAATCCGAGCGCGTGAAGATATGTTCGACATCACAATGGATTTACAAATACTATGCATACATGCAACGCCATACTTTTCGGACTCGCTGGTTCAAAGATATTAGATTCTTTGTTGGACGCGGTATGAAATTTTTTAACATTGTTCTGTTCATAGTATTATTTATTTTTATGAAGGGTTATTTTCATTGAGAAAATATTTTCTATTGGTTGATGAAGTTTTCGTAATTAAATTATAAACTGCAACAAAAAGCTTCCAAAGCTTTTCTTTTGATTCTTCAGGTTATTATGTAAATTGGATAATAATTGTATAAATAATATAAATAATAATCACTTTTGTCAATGAATTATATCTCCGAGACTAATAAAGGAATATTTTAAGTGATATTTACCGATTATTATGATCTACTCTGATAGAAAGCAGTTTCCATGAAATATTTAACACATTCTCTTTTATGGCTGATCATTCGCATGTAAGATGTAACAACAGCTATAAAAATCAAAGGTGAGAAACATATTTGATTGAATATTTTGAGAACTACGTAAAAAAAAATGTATAGAAAATAAACTTCTGTGATACATCGTAATAAAACTCAGTCTGGCAGAAAATGCAAAAGAACTTTAACCATGATAACTTTTTTTGGGATGCAAAAATAAAAATTGTTATTTATCTTTATTTTATATTTGACAGTATAGTCCCTTTATATGTATTAATGCACAAAATTGTAGATTAATGTTTGATTGGAAAAATGAATAAAAAAGTGCTATCTTTTAATGTGTTATATGATATCTGATTATATTATTGGATTCCTTGTGAAAAATACACAATTTTGATGTTATTCTCATCCTCAACTTTGAGTGCTGCCTTCTTTTTCTTTAGCGTTAATGACGGTCAATAACCAAAACTTTTGTAAAAACCACTTGTTACTAAGGTTTTATCACAATTGGCGGACGTCACTTCGATTTGTTCCCTTGTCAGTGAGTCTGAAACGTATTGGCCCGGTGGATCCAGTAGTCTCTGTACGGATCGCGTTTGTCTTACACGCACAGGTTCCGAGTTAAGTGGATAATCCTGTATTGCGATCTGAGTTTTATCATTTTCAGAAGTATATATTATGATTACCACGAAATTGTTGCAAAGAATTTCCTTTATTTTGCAACCTGAATCGCACTTATAATGTTTAAGGAAGCAACGATTGGACATTCTCAATGTTATTGTTGATATAGTACACTGTTCAGAGTAAGGCATAAATATTCGACACTAGCATAAAGTTTGAAACAGTTTCATTTAAATATATCTTTGGTCAAGCAATTTATGCCGCACGCTGTATCTAAAATATATTTATGATTTTCTACTGTACATACAAGCATGTATTGAAGCTGCATTAATCACATTCATTATCTAGCTAAAATTACGTAATGATAGTGTACAAGCGAAAACTCAAATAAGGAGAGTAATTTTTAAGAAGTCAATATTATTACAAACTATTATTACAAACGTTATTATGCAGTTTTACGAAACAAAGTGTTCAATGTGATTTTTCTACTATGATTGAAAAATATTTAGGAATGAAGCTACTGTTAATTTTCAGCTGTCCTTTTATAATTATTTGGTCCCCGAAATTTAAGTGTATCGTATCGTTCCTTATCAATGAAATGAAAGTGAAATTAACAACGTGCCTATCAATGTAGACTTGTTTATGTAAACGAGAATTGTCAAAATATTACATAATAAAAACTTCAAATGTTATTTTACATACGCAAAAAAATTACCTTCGTAATATGTAATTAAATACTAATTTAAAATAAGCTTAATTTTTGTTCACAAATACAGATTGTTCCACTAAAAACAGACTACCTTAATATTTCCTGTTGAGTTTATGTTATTAAAAAAAAGTTATCATAAAGTGAAATGTTGAAAAGGGACGCAATACAACTTTTTTTCGTGGGTCTTTAAGACCATTTAGATGAAACAGAACAAAATAGTGCCAATCTTATTCACGTCTATATAGCGTCGATTGATTATTAGAAAATAATATCAATGTGTTCTTAACCATTCTTAAGTAGGATAAAACGGTATATTATTTCATTGAAAGAAGTAAAATTGATGGTAATTGCGAAATTTGTTTCTATATTATACATTTCTAGTAACATGCTCTTTAATAAGATAAACTCAATGGACGGTATTAAAGTGACGTGTTCTTAATGATCCATACTGTATGTAACATATACATAAACATTCGCAAGGCATCCCAAGTATGCAATATTTTAAGAGGTGGTATGCGAGCTTCAGTTTAAGTAATAGTATTACTTGTAAATTTTAGTAGCTTCACACGTTTAACACTAAGTAGAAATGGCTGAAATATTGTTTTCATACATTTCGTTGTATCTTCTATAGTTTAAGCAAATATAAGCAATCATAAAGTTTATTTGTTTACTTTATAAAGAATAAGAACTAATAAAAGTTCGATTATTATTCCATTAATACAATATATAATATGTGGTTTTCATAGATTTTTGGACGCTAAGTTTCAATTCACAATTCTTTCCTTTTTCATCGCCCTCATTTTCTGAAAAATTTTATTTTGAACAACGTTTTTCGAAAAAAATTAAGTTGTTAGCTTTATAAATTATTTGCGACTAATTATGAAATTAGTTTCTTTTTAAATTTCTTGTTAGAAACTACAAATTTGAGACAAAGTCTTGCTACACCGTGCATTGGTGTGGAGTTTGTACGGTAATTATAAAATAACCAAAACACAAGTTATATTTTCTAGTGGAAAAATTAATTAGTTCCATATAGCATGAGGCTAGGATTAGGTGATACTCACATTCGTGAATCTTAAATTTTTCCAAAGCTCAAACGAGTAAAGAAAAACCTACAAAAAAAGAATCTATAAGAAACTCTTGCCCTATGATACATTTCTGAACTATGTTGTTATCATTTATATTATCGTTAACAATTTAGTAGAAAAAGAAAAGAATCTTATACTTATTCTATGTCTACGTTTACTACAAATGTTAAAAATTAATAATAGACAAGCAATGTTTAATTTATATTGAAAATAAATAAATAACATTTAAATTTATCGAATTTAGTTTAGAACTTTTCATCACGAGTCTCACATGATATTATAAGTAAAGAGTTAATATTACTAAAGGTACGTTTATAGCGTAGCTACGATAATGAAATGTAAGAATATATTGCACAGGAACTGATCTCTGGAAAGAATGCAGGTCCAATTGGTCAGTTTTCAACTTTTTTCATCCCATTTTCGATAGTAATTTGCTATTTATCATTACGGTTATAGATAACCATCAATACCATAAACAAAATACATAGTAAGAGACCATGTCCGATTATTTCTTGTGTAAGGTACTGTACTTCTATTTTAAATGAAAGAATTTACGTTAAAGAGACGCATAAAGCTACGTTCAATTAATCGATCAACGGTACAAGCGTTTTGAATCGACGCTCTTTTAGCTTCCATTGTAGCTTCGCTTTAACCTTTCGCACTCGATTTATTTTCAATGTAGTTGGGTGTAAATTTGTATTGATTTTTCGGAAAATGAATTAAAGTAATTTCCAGTGGTAAAATTCAATGTTTTATATTTATTTTATTTATTATTATTATTATTATAATTCTATAACAAATTTGTATTATCATCTGTAGCATGACATTCGAGTGCAAAGGGTTAAACGTACCCTTACACTTACAATAAGTAACGTAATATCACTGTGTTCTCTACCTTTAACCTGATATTAATTCTTCTACTTCAAAAATGGTAGCAATTCCAAAAAAATGTCACAGAACATTTTTGTTTCATTTAAGCACCTAGCTTGCCTACCACTCCTTATATTAAAGTATACCTGCAATACCTTCTAAATTATATGATACGCAATATATTTATGAAGATTTTTCTATTATAAAAATTCAACATTGGGACGATGAAATTATGGCCCCTGATTTCTCGTACTGATTGGTCCAAAAACGTGTCACGCGATACATGGCTTATAATAAAATGCATGAATAAAATTCCACTACGGATCTAGTTGACAAGTTCTCGATGTTCAGTGTTCGAGATAACCTGGGCAAGTAGTTGAATCTGTCGCACATATTTCACAATCTATTGTTCCCACGTAATAATGAATCCCGACGAATGATAATGATCTCGCGAATTCCGAACGTTCACTTCATTCTCGGAATTTCGAATTAAAAAGATCGAGAAACATTAAATCCCATGAAAGCTGAACAGAAACATTGTTAACTCATTTGAGCCGTTTACTTTGAAAGTGGCGTAAGTCCATTAAAAAAGAAAGAAAAAACTGTTAAAATATAAAAACATCATACATAA